TGAAAGCTTTTCCCCCTGTTTGGTTTTGATAAAAATCAAAATTTTAGTAAATTTTGCTAAAAGTTGATGAAATGTGTAGTTAAAAGGTTGATAAAAAGTTGTGGATCCTATGAAATGTGTGGTTGCAAATGATTTTGAAGAAAATGGGTTTTAAAAAATGGAGGCCAAACAGGGCTTTGTCACATCGTTTATGACATAAATCCTTATGTACAATTATTTTTATCATATATTTTCTCCAAACAAAATATATATCATGTAACTATTGTTCCAGCCAGAAACATTTCCAGAAAAGGCAAGAATATTGTGACTGACAAAGCTGTTGACTTTCCGTGTTCAAATTAGGCAGTATCAAAGTTTGATGATTTCGACATCTTCTGAGCTCAGTTGTACTGAATTTTTCTACAAATATGACATTGTTGTTACATTATTCATGGATTTCTAGTTTTGACACATGTTTTTACTCAATCGGAGGAAGTGATAGGTTATCATCCCAAAATGGTGTAGGCTGATCCAGAAACTCAAGATCCTGTTGTTTATGACAATGGTGTCACTTATATGTTTATACAGCACAACAATGTGTATCTCATGACTGCATCAAGGCAGAATTGCAATGCCGCTAGCCTTCTATTGTTCCTACACCGCGTAGTTGATGTAAGCACTATTAATAGTTAGTGATTTTGCTCTTCATATATTTGGTTTATAATCTAATGAATTTATTGATGCGACTTCCTTTTGTACTATTGCTTGTATATTTTTCTGACAGGTCTTTAAACATTATTTTGAAGAGTTAGAAGAGGAATCTCTGAGAGATAATTTTGTTATAGTGGTACAGGAGCTTATTTGCCTTTTATTTCTAATTTTTAAATGTTGGTTAGCATTAAGTATGCTACTGCTGATGTTTATGCCGCTGACAGTATGAGTTACTTGATGAAATGATGGACTTTGGCTACCCACAATATACTGAAGCAAAGATTCTTAGTGAGTTCATCAAGGCTGATGCTTACAGAATGGAAGTTTCACAGAGACCTCCAATGGCTGTAACAAATGCAGTGTCTTGGCGTAGTGAAGGGATACATTACAAGAAAAATGAAGTAAGTCTTTATTTGTTGACCTATTATTGTTTTCTTGAACTGGATTACAAGTCTTCTTCATTTATTCAGGTGTTTCTAGACGTTGTGGAAAGTGTCAATATGCTAGTCAACAGCAATGGACAAATAATTAGGTCGGATGTTGTTGGGGCATTAAAGATGCGGACGTACTTGAGGTTTGTCCTGCCACCCTATATGGCTTCCCATCATATTTTATTTTGAGCCAGACGCAGTTGGAAGCTTTTCTTTGTTTTGCTATTGCACCATATTTGTAGGTACTTTACCTATGCCGGGCATAAAGTATGCTTCTATGACTCTTCTTCTCTAATTTAAAACCTTGATACTTATTTATGATGTGTTTTGCTGGTAATTGACCATCATATGATTGCAACATGGCATGATTGTTGATAGATTTTAATGCTGAAAAATGTAACATTCTTTAAAGAGAGTATATAGGTTTGAGCTGTTAATTTGATTAGTTTCTCATAATGTAAATTCAGTGGTTGTGGGAATGAAAAGGCCACAATGTTTCACCACTATAGTTCTGATATGAAGATAAAGAAATGGTAATGGTAATGGTAATGGTTATTTCACTCAGTAATTAATTGATTTCCTTTCAGAATTTGCTCCTCAATTAAGACTGTACAAGCTTATGTTTGTAGTCTTCTTGATTATCTCAAAGATGTTTCAGTGGATCTTCATCTTAGGATTACTTTGCACTACTTGTGTCTTGCAAGATGTTTAAATAACTGGATGCTATCAATTTTCTGATGTTAGTTCAGGGTAGACTAGATCCGTGTTACAATCAAGAAAAACACAGAGAGTTTATAATGACTTGAATTTTACATTATTCTGGATTGCTAACAAAGAATTTCTTAGACTAAGCTAGCACACCAGAAAACTGACGATACGTACTTAAAGGAAATAAGATTTCACTTCAGAATTCATTTTTTCACAACATGCATCAAAATTTTAACCATAAATATCTTTTGTCACGGCTATTATCCAGTTAACATCAATCAATCATAATAGCAGGTTGTCAACATGACGAGATAATATTCTACCTTTGTGCAGTGGTATGCCTGAGTGTAAGCTTGGGCTAAATGACAGAGTATTGCTTGAGGCACAAGGTCGAACCACTAAGGGAAAAGCCATTGATTTGGATGACATCAAGTTTCATCAGTATGTAATTATACTCTCAGTTTAAAGACAATATGTGATTGTACTCGAGTTACTGTGTAGTATTTGATTCAAAAGTTAAACTTCCATGTAAAGAATATGTCTGTACATGTGTGTGGTTGTTTAAATTTCTTTGCTTGCGTATTTCTCAGAAAAACACCTCTCTCTATCTAGATGGATGGACGGACAGATATATAGACCAAATGTCTTGCTTAACACCTAATTTTACTTTTTTCCTGGTTTAGGTGTGTGCGTTTAGCCCGATTCGAGAATGACAGGACAATATCCTTCATACCTCCTGATGGGTCATTTGATCTGATGACCTATAGGCTCAGCACTCAGGTCACTCGTGGATTTGGGAATTAAATTTTATTTATATGCTCCTTTGTTCAAGTTTCTTTGGCCTCTTCTCCTTTTTTGGATGACAAAAACTGAATATTTACTTCAAGTGTCCTTGATAAAATAAAATGTCCTTTCAATTAGTAATATTTCTCGTTAAAAACAAAGATATTGTCAGCATCAGTTTATTCTCTTCAGTTCTGTGAAACTAGATGTACTTCAGAAGGAGGACAACAGAATTGGAATTGGGGATTCATTTTTTCTTCATTTCATCAGTTGGGCTTTTTAGCAAAATGAGTTATGAGAATTGTATACTTCAGGTAAAGCCGCTGATATGGGTTGAAGCTCAGGTGGAAAGACATTCTAGGAGCCGCATAGAATTTATGGTAAAAGCCAGGAGCCAGTTCAAGGAGCGTAGGTATGTTTAAGAAATAATACATTTTGCTGTGCCTGCACAAGTAACTAATGATTCCGTATAGTCATTTTTATTTTTTTTATCTGCTGGGTTATATTTCAGAGTAATGATATGTAGCAATGGGGTCCACTACTTCTTAGACTGGTGCTACATAGCATTACTCTATATTTTACAAATGTTGAAAGTCATTTCTGAACTCATTTGGTATTTCAGTACAGCAACCAATGTTGAAATTGAGTTGCCTGTGCCATCAGATTCTACCAATCCAAATATCCGTACATCGATGGGGTCTGCTTCCTATGCACCTGAAAATGATGCTTTAATCTGGAAAGTAAAATCTTTCCCAGGTGGAAAGGTAAGTGATTAGGTCAACTCTTCTCTGTCGTTCATCTATTTTCTTTAGGTTTTCAATTATTTGCCATTAGTGTTGGACACCAAGACTTTTTGTAATTGCATATTTTTCATTTTTTGTTTAGGAATACATGTTGAGAGCAGAATTTAGGCTTCCCAGTATAACATCTGAGGAATCAGCTCCTGAGAGAAAAGCTCCCATACGCGTGAAGTTTGAAATACCGTACTTTACTGTTTCAGGAATACAGGTCAGCCCTCAAATGAAGTTAACTAAATATTAAATACATTCCATGTTATTTTGGGATTTGCAATTTCTTTTATGCAGATGCATTTTGTGGTCTTACGTTTTTACATTTCATGCAGAACAGTTAATTTAATCATTATCATTTTTTTTTTTTTGAAATGGAATTGGAGGGCTTCAGTAGGATCAGAGCTAAATTTTTGTCCCATTTTATAGCATTAATCGTATACATTTTGTTGGTGTATCTTTTACTAGCATTGCACTGCATCATATCCCTGGTATCGTGAAAAGGGAGCAACGGATAGTTGTGGCATTCTCTATCCGTATAGGCTTGCATCAAGATTAAAAATAAGGGAGATATTTTATAATTTGAATTACATAGGTGTTAAGCTCATTGGTCATAATGATATCTCAAGCGATGGTGATTGAGAATGGATTGAGGTGTAATTCAAAATCTTACACAACGAGTTCAGATTTATGTCAAGGAGATGTACTATGGAAAACCATCACCTACTTTGTAGATCGATAGAAAATTTGAAATATTTGGATACGTTTTTATTGATTTAGTAAATTACTATATTAGGGTGCGATATGGGAGTGCTGAGGTGGATGCTAAAGAAAAAAAAGAACTTATCAACGTTAGGAGTTCCAAGAATGAGACGTCGTGGCAGCAATGGTAGAGGATTTCCTATCACTATAGGCTTGCATCAAGATCTCGTAAGTCCTTTTATACTTTGGTGATAAATGAGATTGCAAGATATCCATCATGAGATTCTTTAGTTTGTGTTATTCTCTGATGATATAGTTTTGACTGATAAGATTAGGGGGATAAATCCTCAGTTTAGAACATTAGAGGAATGTTTTGGACTCGAAAAATTTGAAGTTAAAAGTATGACAAAAACATAAAACATGGAATGCCCTTTTACTCACATTTGGAATTAGGATGAAAGTGAGGTCACTACAGAGAATCATATTGTCATAAAGGGAGTACTTGTGGATATTTAGATTCAATTATTTGTGAGGATGACTTGAAGAGGACGTTGACACCAATTGAGGATAAATTAAAGAAATGATGATTCAGGTGGTTGGACATATTGTATCTAGATCTAAAGAAGCTTCCATTCAAAGAGTTATATGATCTTTAGAACATATGAGAAGATGGAGAGTCAAATGTGGTCGAGGTGATTTGATTGTGTTGGATGTTCTTGTAGCTGTATGATTGAATCGATTGAGTGGTGAAAAGTATTCATGCAACCTACTCTATATTAATTGAGAATAAGGCTTAGTCTACTGTTGTTTTGGACTGAAACCTCAAACTTTTTGCTTTCATGAAGAGGTTGAAAAAACATGAAAGAGTATCTGTGGGAATGCACTGAAAACTTTGGGGATGTTGAGTTCTGACTTCTGGAGGCTGTGCTTCTACTATGGAAGGAAGGATGTTTCTTGTGAATATGAGATCTGACAAAATCGTGAACACAAAAAAATTAGGTTTGCACAACATTAAACATACAAAATATAAAGATGGATTCCAGGTCCAATAAATTGAGTTTCATTGATAATCAATTTTCTCAGTTGAACTCTATTTCGTGAAAGTACATAAATCTTTCAAAATTCAGGGCCTGTTTGAGCCTCATTTTTTGCCCAAAAAGTATTTTGAAATTGTATTATGATGGAGAATGTGTGGTTTTTTTAAAAAATTGGTTTTGAGTTTGCATGTAATATTATATTATTGAAGCATGTATGGTTGAAAATAAGAGAAATAAATGTATTTTGAAAATAATAGGAACCAAAGAACGGCTCAACGTGTTCCATCAATGAAGATTCACATAAACAGTGGGAGCACTTGAAAGATATTTGAGATTCGAAGACTTTACATTAAATTAGTTTAATTTTGATTCAATTTTTGTGCATTATGCTTAGTTTTATTTTGGATAGTTAAGGTTTTGCTAGACTATATACTGATTAAATATTTTCGTACTCGGGGTTTGTAGGTCCGTTACTTGAAAATTATTGAGAAAAGTGGGTACCAGACTCTTCCATGGGTGAGATACATTACAATGGCTGGAGAATACGAGCTGAGACTAATATGACTTCTACTTCTACTTCTACTTCTACTTCTACTTGATGGGTTATCCCACAAACAATCTTTTTGGCTCAAAACTCGCTGGTAAGTGGCTCGTGAAAATCATAGTTTCCAGTTTACAAGTTGGATTGCAGAGTAAAACCAACATCTTCTGCCTCATTGTCTTCTTTCTGATTATTGCAACTCGAGATGTGTATTGTTGATGTTGATCATCATTTTGCTTGCTTCTTGAAAATAATTGATATTGTAGAGCCCAAAAGTTGATATAGTTGAATATTTTTGTATTTCTTTCAAGAAATTTGATGTTATGGTAAAAAAAAATTCTCTTTGTTGCTAATTTTTGAATTCATTGTTCAAATCAAATATTAGTTGTTACAAATTTGTAGAAAAATGATGCTTTGAAAAACTTACACTGTTGAAATTTATTTATTTATTTTCGGGTCGAGTAATGGTATCCATCACTGATATCATTGTCGGCCTAGGTGGCAGTGGCAATGAATCAAAGGATCAACTGCCACCTAATCTTTCACTGAAAATAGAACTCTTTTGGTCAATTCGGTTTTTCTTCTTTTTCTAACTCTCGAGAAAGAGATCATGTGCATGCCATGTGAAACTTCGACTGAAAAATTGGGTGTTTCCATCCACTCACGTGCGCTAATACTTACCTTCTTTTCACACGGGTTTGGACCTACAAAAACGAAGCTGGGGCCAAATCCTTATATACTTTATACAGTAAGAGAAGTCAGTCTCAAAAATCTGTCCATCTTTAGAGTTGGCTTGTCATAGTATTCTCCTACGCCAGAACATAAGAACCTATCACAAGAGGTCCACACGTCAATAATAAAATTGTACCTGCCACCCAATTCAAAAATGCCAATGGTACTTTGCATTTTTCAACGTAGAAATTTAAGACGTCAAGGAAAAAAGGAATAAGAAAACACGAGTTATGTGCCTCAAGAATTGAAATTATCGCTGTTGTTCAAATGAGCGAACATGGACACACGAATACACAAATCAATTCGTTTGAGACTCAACAAATTGGTATCAAATATTATTTTTGCATCACTTATAAAGTATTTTAGAATAAAATGTAATGCACGTTCAACTTTGACTAGTTTTCAAGAATAACGAACTTAATGAAATCAAACCATTGCACTTCCGTGATTAAAGGGTAGTTATATTCGCACCACAATTTTTTATAGATACCCCATATTTTAATCTTATTATTGACCCCTAATCTTTATTCATTATTATATTTATGTTCTTAACTTTTTTTCATCATATTTTTATCATTAACCTTTCATCAATTTGCAAATATTGACCTTAATGACGGTTTTCGTACAAAAAATTATTTCTTTTTAAATGATGAACAAGTATTTCATTTTGAAGTTGATGACATAAGTGTCACAAGACTAAAGGTTATGAACATTTCATACAACTAAAATGTAGATCGCTTATAAAATTATTTGGTGTGAACATATTTAGCCTTAGAGCAAATTTACGATATTTAGGATCGACCGAAAAATTGTTTAAATAAAATGATGCACTTAAATGCAGTCTCTCAGTGGGCGGCGTATCATTATCAGACCACATTTGTGGTGGTGGGTGGAGTCATTAAGAAAGCAGAAAAAACAGTTATAGGACACATCAAAGATTTCAATGCAAATTATAAGCGAAGTCAAAAAAAACATATACTATATTAATTGTACTTTTACGACTTTCTTTAGGCTAAAGTTTTGATGTTCACAGTCATTATTAATTGTATAATTAAGCATTTGCTTGTTGATGAAGGAAATATCTAACTGTTTGTTTGACATACTTTTCTCATCTTTTGTATATGA